GGGCACTGATTGGGCCTGATGGATAGAGCTTCATCAGAGCTAAACAACAAAAAAAATCTGAAGCTTTTAGGTTGAACATTTTATGAGTTAAAAGCATTTTTGCATGTCCTGACACCCCCTCTTTGGATGGAGCCCCCTCCTCAAATATGGGGTGTATTGTAAAACCGTTGGCTGGCGCAGTGTAGGTCAGATTCATCTACAGTCCTGCCAAATTTCATGTTGATTGGTGCAGCCGTTTTTGTGCTATGGTTAACCAAAAATCACTAAAAAATAAATAAATAAACAGTATGACAACAATATGACTCCTGCTTACGCTTCGCGTGCGGGGTTATAATAATCTGAGTCTTAGCCATGAATGAATGAGTGAATATAAGTAAATGATGCAGTGAATGAAAAGGAGCATTCATTGGCTCAGGTGATCTGTTTGAAACATTTTTACTGTAAAGTTGAACTGTAAAGTTGTGAACCCGTAAAGTTGTGAACACGTAAAGTTGTGAACACGTAAAGTTGTGAACCTGTAAAGTTGTGAACCTGTAAATTTGTGAATGTGTAAAGTTGTGAACTTGTAAAGTTGTGAACCTGTAAAGTTATGATCCTGTAAAGTTGTGAACCCGTAAAGTTGTGATCCTGTAAAGTTGTGAACCTGTAAATTTGTGAATGTGTAAAGTTGTGAACTTGTAAAGTTATGATCCTGTAAAGTTATGATCCTGTAAAGTTATGATCCTGTAAAGTTGTGAACTTGTAAAGTTATGATCCTGTAAAGTTATGATCCTGTAAAGTTGTGAACCTGTAAAGTTGTGATTCTGTAAAGTTGTGAACCTGTCAAGTTGTGAACCTGTCAAGTTGTGATCCTGTAAAGTTGTGATCCCGTAAAGTTGTGATCCCGTAAAGTTATGATCCCGTAAAGCTGTGAACCTGTCAAGTTGTGAACCCGTAAAGTTGTGAACCCGTAAAGTTGTGAACCCGTAAAGTTGTGAACCCTTAAAGTTGTGAACCCGTAAAGTTGTGAACCCGTAAAGTTGTGAACCCGTAAAGTTGTGAACCCGTAAAGTTGTGAACCCATAAAGTTGTGAACCCGTAAAGTTGTGAACCCTTAAAGTTGTGAACCCTTAAAGTTGTGAACCCATAAAGTTGTGATCCTGTAAAGTTGTGAACCCTTAAAGTTGTGAACCTGTAAAGTTGTGATCCTGTAAATTTTACGGGGTGTTTGTTGACGCGGTTCTCGCTCGCTGTCTGCTGCAGATTCGTCTGGGGAAGGAGAATGAAACGGCGGTCACCCCCACCTTCATTGTTAAACCAGACGGGGGATCTCAGGGAGACGGGATCTACTTGATCCGGGACCCCAGCGATTTGAAGCTCGTGGTGGGCTCTCAGGCCAAACAGGCTGTGGTCCAAGAGTACATTCCGAAGCCGTTACTGATCGACAAGCTGAAGTTCGACATCCGTTTGTACGTGCTAATCAGGTCGCTGGAGCCATTAGAGATCTACATCGCCAAAGAAGGCCTGACCCGGTTCTGTACTGAACCCTACCAGGTAGTCTTCATGGCGGTTGGCTGATGGGTGGGAGTCTTTGAAGCCGGTGACACTTTAATATACGTCTCTGGCGTGTGACTCATTAGGATCTTTGTTCTCGTGCAGGAACCCAGCCAGAAGAATCTGAGCCACGTCTTCATGCACCTGACCAACTACTCCCTGAACGTGCACAGTGGAAACTTTGTGCACTCAGACAGCCAGAACACAGGCAGCAAGCGCACCCTGTCCAGCGTGCTGTACAGGCTGGGAGCTAAAGGCGTCGACATCAAGCGGGTGTGGTCGGACATCATCGCCCTCGTGATCATGACCGTCATGGCTGTGGTGCCGGAACTGAAAGTTTACCACCAAGCAGATATACCACCGGGCAAACCAGGACCCACATGTTTCCAGGTATTTTCTCTCTCTCTCTCTCTCCCTTCCTCACATTTTTCTTTTTCTGTACCTCATTCTGTCGCTGTTTCCCTCCTCGACATGTCTTTTCTTCTTTGCCTTGTTGTAGACATTAGTCACACATTTTGGGGCATGAAATCTAAAGGTGCATGTCATTGAGAGGTGTATTCTACATTCGGCAATGGCGAAAACAGGAGTTTTTTTTTCTTACGTCGGTCGATATAAATGTCAAAATTGCTACCTGCTGCAAGTCATTGAGAAGACTGCTCCAACAATAACACTAGCTTGCCCTGTGTGCTGCTAGTTCCTGAATGTGCGTTCACAGGCGTTGCACAGAAAAGCATCTCCCACGAAACAGTCCGAACGTGTTCAGGCTATTTCAACCAGTATGATTGTATTCAGACAAATTCATACAGTATTGAAACCAATATACTGCTCAGTTACAGGACGTTCTAAACTCTTTTCTCCATATAGTGTGTCTGAAAAACTCTGCTCAATGTTTTTCCTTAGTTTGCTCTCGTTAACTCTCCTTCACTGGCGATTCTGTCGATATCTGAGATCTGAAGCATTCTTCTGAGAAACCACATTTCTGCAGTGTTTATCATTTCAGCAGCTGTTTGGTTCTTGGTCCAAGCTTCACTTCCATATTTCACAATGTGAATGATGTAATACTGCAGCACTCTCCTCCTGGTCTTCACTGCAAGGTATACATTTGTCAGGATCTTTCTGAGGTCTAATGCTTGTTTTGATTCTGGTCTAGATCAGGGGTTCTTAACCTTTCTGACCTCCAGGCCCAATTTGTTGAACATAAAGTGACACGAGGCCCAGTCAGACATTACCAATGTATGGATCAAAATGATAATTATTATAAATATTGCTTTAATTTTTATTGTATTTACATCATCATTTTACAACTAAACTATCATAACTAACATAATTAAATTAAATACACTTACAGTTTAAAAGTGAAACTC